AAGGAAATAGTATGTTTTTAAGAGTGAATAAAGAAAAAAAAAGAGTCAATAAAGAAGGATGAATCTTACCCTTTTTTCCCACACACATAAACCTGTAAGAAAAGAGAAAAAAAATAGGAGTTTTTCTGTGACAAGAAGACTGTAGCTCTCTACAGAAATGGAAGGAAAAAGAAAAACAGCAGAATTAAACATAAAGTAATGGTTTAGTAACTTTCTTCCTTTGGAAAACATGTATCTTAAGACAGCTTTGAATAAAGGAAATAAGTGAGTTTAACTGGCATTCATGTGAGAGGTGGAGAGAAAATACATTTTTCTGAACCTAAATGAAAAAGCCTAGAGGGAAACACTACAATAAAAATATAAAGGCAGATGCCATCCAATATTTTTTCTTTAAATATTTTTTATTAATGTATGTTTGGAGGACGTAATGATTCCCTTCAGCTTGGGGAATTGGTACATGGGTGTAACACATCATCCAATAGACTGCAAAGGCTAGAAAAAATGTTCCTTCCTTTCCTGTGTGTGTGAGTGCGTGCGTGCGTGCCTGTGTGTGTCCAGACACGTCAGGCAGGTACTCGACTTCTGAGCTGTGGGCTGGTCCCTAATTCCTTACCTTTGAGTCCAGCCAGGTTGACCCAGAGCACTTCCTCCCTGCACACAGCCAATCAGGATCTAGTGGTCACCTGTAAGGATTCTGACAGAAGAGACGATAGGTATGTCTACAGGTTTCGTGTTTGTTTCCTTTGCCTATAAACAACAACAGCCTAAAAAAAAATAATTTTATTGAGAAATAAACAGCAATGAGAGTTTCAAAACTGATTGGTAGGACAGTTTCAATAATTAATACATTGCATATTGTTATCTTAGTGGTTATTCTTTATACAAGATGCAGACATTTTTTTTTTCCTTTTTTTTTTTTTTTATAGGACCAGGGCTTGAACTCAGGCCCTTGCGCTTGCCAGGCAAAAATTTATTCTACTGAGCCATCTCCCTGGCCCCATTTATTAACCTCTGAAACCTATAAACCAATTTCCCCTTGCTTGTGGTATGGCCCTGGGCAGCTCATTCAAGCTCCTAGAGCCTATTCCCCATCTATAAAGCTGGACTCACCCTAATGACCTCATAAGTTGATGTGAGGATGGAGTGAGGTGACATGTGGAGGATGTTTCTCTTGTGCAGAAGTAAAATGACACACAAAGTTCTCAGTCTTTCCAACTCATCAAGACCCTAGTCAGTCTGGGCGTGGTGGTCACAGCTGAATCCTGCCACCACCCAATAAGCTGAGGGAGGAGGATTGCCTGGAGTTGAGTTGGAGGCCAAGCTGGACTACGTACTGAGCTCAAGGCCAGCCTGAATCACACTGTGAAACCCTGTTTCAAATCTCTCCCCACAAAAAAACAAACAATAGCATCCTATTAGACTTATCAGTGAGAAACCTAGAAATACTCTCTTAAAGCATCACTGGTTTTTGTTTTGTGTTTTGGTGATACTGGAGATTGAACTCATAGCCTTGTTCATGCTAGGCAAGCATTCTCCCACCTAGCCACATTTCCAGCCCTTGGAGCTCTGCTGTGAATTCTGTATTTCCTCTCAAGGACAGCATTCCTACAGTGGCCCTCTCTCTTGGCTCAGCCCCTCAGGCACCCCCGTATGCCTTACTGTGTGTGTCCCAGCCCGGTAGTGATTCTCTATTCCTGCTCTCTCTGTTCAATGCTGCCTGCTTCACTCCCCTTCATTATTCAGGGAGTTGGCTATTTTGACTATTACACT